AAAAAAAAAAAAAAAAAAAAAAAAAAAAAAAAAAAAAAAAAAAAAAAAAAAAAAAAAAAAAAAAAAAAAAAAAAAAAAAAAAAAAAAAAAAAAAAAAAAAAAAAAAAAAAAAAAAAAAAAAGTACAAAAACTGTGAAACAGAAAATATAATAATATGTGGTCCAACACGCAGAACATAGTGGCAATAATCAAAAGAACAGATTTTGTGGTATAACTAGAACAGTAGCTGGTATTGGGAATGGAGTTTCACAGCCAGTCTGAGGTTTTTTACCAAGCCACGGTCACTGCAAGCACCTTCTTCCACTGGGCACGTTAATGTTTCCCTTTGAAGTGTGTGTCTGTTCTCTAAAGGCAGCAAAAGCTGTCCTGTGTAAGAGCTTTCAGGAATTAAAAAGTCCAAAATAAATTTGATAGCTCTCTATCTAGGCCTGTTTCAGAGTTTTTGGCTCTGTATGCCCAGACCTATGCAGCTAAATCCCAACCAGCCCAAGCTTTGTGTCAGTCTCCTAAAGCTGCTCGAAATGGTATCGTTCATAGATTTTGTGCAATAATTTACTAGTCCTAAAGTATTTTGATTTGTTATTTGTGCAAGAAACTGAAATATAAGGTTAGCTATCAATAAAGAAGATTGTTGGGTTGGCATTTTTTTCTGTTGTTGCAGTTTTTCAGGAATAAAACTGACCTAATATTAGGAAAATAACTTTAATGTTTGGAAGACAAGGGGACAAAAGTGTATTCCTAATATTAGGCCACACAGTAGTCTAGCATGACTCTTGGTAATCACCAATCTTTGTAAATATGATAAAGGTAGGTATCGTAGAGGCTATTTGAACTTATTCTTTACAACCCTGAGGATATATTGTGGGTCTTTATTTCTGCCTTTTGGAACGTTCCTTGTGTCCCATCAAGTAATTTTTGGCACAAGATCCGAGTTTAACATAAAGCATATATTTGCACACTTGTTTATTGATGGGTTTGTATTGTAGATACAATCTTTAAGGTCAGAAAAAGCTGTCCTATGTAAGGGCTTTCAAAAATTAAATATTCCAGTAACTAGTTTGTAGAAATACTTGACTAGAGAAATACTAGCATTAGAAATAATATGACAACATTAATGAAAGCTCAGTGGAAGATCTATAAGGACAATATACTACCTCCTCCACTGACTGCAAGTATTAAGATTAATCACTATACTGGAATAACTCATTTATTATTACACAGTAAAAATATGCTACTCTCATAGTCATCCAACACCCAGAACATAGTTGCAATAATCAAAAGATTTTGTGGTAACTAGAACAGTCGCTCGTTCTTCAGTAGCTGGTAATGGAAATGAAGTCTCACAGCCAGTCTGAGGTTTCACCAAGCCACAGTCACTGCAAGTGCATTCTTCCACTGAATACATTAATGTTTCACTTTGAAGTGTGTGTCTAATTTCTTCTGTATTCACACTGCTGTCAGTATTAGCCTTGAGAACATTATTCAGCTCCACAGAGGAGTCTGTAAATATATGGAAGTTAATTTAGAAGATACATCATGCTATACCAAACATACAGTTATTAAAGATCCAAATTTCATTGTGTTCCAGCTATCTTCTAGCCTTAGTGAAAGTTTTAAGAAATAGTGAAAGTTTTAAGATGTAGTTATATATGATGATCTTTTGTTCTGTGAAAATATAACTGCTATTCTTCAAGCACTGAAGTAATCAAACATATATTTTCTAATAAGTTATTATTTATTGTGTGAAAACTCACAAATATAGTATTTGTAAAATGTAAAAATAGATTAAATTTTTTTAATTGAATGTCACAAAAAATATACCACATAGGCTTCTCATACACTGCAATACTAAATTATAAGATGAAAAGCTAATACTGAATGTGTATCCTCTACCTGTGTAGAATTCCTTTTGCATTCAACGAGAAGAGCCCTTAAAAAGATTTTTTGCTATTGAGGGTTCATAAATGATTTCTCAAACACCAGTAAGTAAGCCAGGTATGAATATACAACCATACAATCCTGGCAGGATCTGGAACCAACAAAGAGAGATTCCTGCTTTTGCAAGTCACCATCTGGATATTTTATTGCCTAATAACTTTGGAGACTATTTGAGGAAGACAAAACAATCCAACAAAGTAAATCACCCCAATCTGGAACATAAATGATATGCAAAATTTGTACATGGTAAGAGAGCTAAAATGTACAGTGATCTCCAATTATTTATAAAGAATCTTATTTATTCACCTGTGTTTTCCAGTTTTTCTTTTAATTGCTTGAGGCGCTTCCTTTTAAACAGGACCAATAAGGTGAGCAGAGTGAGCATTAAAATTACTCCCAAACCCAAACAAATCCAAAGAATTCCACTTGAATCGGTACCTTATGAAATAAAAGAGATGCGTTAAATTAATCATTAACAATAACTAATGTACAGTAAACATGTCCAGCGCATAAAAGCTCAGTGTCAAATACAACCCAGGACTGCCCAGCACAGCCACAGGACTTTCAGCAAAGCACTTACGCTGCTCACAGGAGTTCTCACACGAAGGCGGTGGCGAACTGGAACATCGGAGATGACAAGGCGTACAAGAGAGCAGCAAATGATCAAAGTATTCATTTTGGGGGCAGGGTGCCATCAGGGGCAGTAATTATGGAAGTGCAAAGCCACAGAAGTTGTAAAAGAGTGAGGATCATCTAGGACTTCTCAGTTCTCAGTTTGAGCAACTCGAAGAGCAGCTAGCAATAATGGACTTCCATCACATCCCCATGACATAGTATCACGTTACAGAGAAAGGATTTAACTCTGAGGTCCCCAAGGAATTACTGTTCCTTTTTTGGCAATTCACAATTGTAGAAAAACTGAGCAGCTGCACCAATTTTGTCTGAAACAGAAAATACTTATTTATAGAAGGCATTTCTTGGACAGGTGCTAAACATTACAAACCCTAAGA